CACACACTCGAGCCTCGGAGGGAGCGAAGCTAGGGTGCCCCAGCGTGAGCCAGTTGAGCGCAACAACTGCATGCTGGGACAGAGTGCGAGCGGCGCGCCGAATCCGCCAACGCTCGCGCGCACGCCCAGTCAAGGTGACAGGGGGCGGCGGCAAGGAAGGGGCAGGCGGGCACGGCCACGGATCGCGGGGAGCGTGCTCCTGAGAGACGTCCCGTTCCGACGCGTAGAACGATGAGCGGGTAAAAGCGGACAGCGCACAACGAGAACCCATCCCAGCCTGAGGCAAAGCAGCTGCCCAGTGGGTTATGTCGATGTGAGCGCCTGGGAACAGGCGCAGCAAGGAAGCAAGGTCCAGCACGAATGGCGCAAGACAAAAAAAAGGATCGGCACGGGTCGTGCCGGAAAATGTGGCAGCGACCCCGGAGGACAAGTCAACTCGAGAGGCCTCTGGCGCAGCAGGCGCGGCAAGGACCCCTGAGGACAAGTCAACTCGAGAGGGCTTACCACTTGGGCCAAAATGGCCTGGCGAGGAAGCGGGAGCTTCGGGGACGGAGCAGGAGCCCCCGCGACGGCGCTCGGGGGTCCCTGCAAGGTCGTAGCGGCCCTGCTGGACCCCCCAGTTCCTACCGCGATTAGCCAGCTCCGCCCAGAAACCGCGAGCGGCATCAGCGGGCGTCTTACCAAACCGATGCCTACTCGCCCCGCGACCCTGGTGCCCTGCCGCTTCAGTGACGGCGGGGACTTCTTGGGCGGCACCTGTGGTGGCCCTTTTTGGGGATGTGGTGGCTGCTTCGGGCCTCTCGGCGGGGGCGGCGCGGCGAGCTTTCCGAGGAGCTCCCGACGGAGCTGTGGCGCCGCCGACCCCGGGGCCGATTGGCGCGAGAGCGCCCGCATGCGGAGCCGGGCCATCGGCGGCGCGAGCAACGCCCCGCGGCGCCAAGACAGCCTCGGCGCGCGCCCCCGTGGCAACGACCGCGCCACTACTGTTCCTCGCAACTGAGCCTCCCAGTCGGCCTCTCCGTCCGCCGCGGCGGCAGCGGGGCCCGCGAAGACGCCGAGACTTGCGGGGCGAAAGGCAGCCTGGGCGAACCCCGGGCCTGACGGGGCAGGCGGCGCTGGGAGCCCGCCGAAGTCGGCGCCTCACTGGAACAGACGCAGATTGAACTTGCTCGTCCTTTTCGCGCGCCTCGCAGTCGGTGCGAGTCAGGGGAGGCGAAACGATAGGCGGGCCAGCTGCGGCGGCCGCTGCTGATGGCACTGGGTCAGCCCTGGGCTCGGATGGCACCTGACAGTCCCCGAAACCGGAGATAGGATCTTCAGCAGCTGGCGCGCCGACGCCGCCCCCGAGGCTAGTAACTTCAGACAGAGGCGGCGGGGCGCCTATTCCAGCGGGGTGCTCCTGACGAGGGCACTCCGCGAGGAAGCTCTGGCGGTCACCCGCGGGGGCGGCGGCAGCCGCGTCTGCAACGCATGGGGTGGCGGAGGGCACGGGCGCCAGAGCGAAAGCGCCCGGAGCGGTGACCTCACTTCCCACGTCACCGAAGGCAGAGTGCAGTGGCACAACGCCCGCTGCGGGCGCGGGGAGAGCCGCGCCAGGGGACGCACGCTGCCGAAGCGTATCACACGCAGGCGGGCCGCTTCCGGGAACGCCACAGTGCAGCACGGGAGGGTCCCTGGGAGGCAGGGGCGGCGTCCGCAGGGGTGGACCCGAAACAACCGACCACCCCCCCACGTCGTCACGAGGAGGCAGCGCGCGAACCGACACAGCGCTCGAACGCAGGGGAGGCGTCAGAAACGACTGAGAGCAAGCCTCCACACTGCGGGTGGCAGCGAAGGCGGCGGCCGCGGTCTCCACATCCGCCCCAGAGACGGGCGGAGGCGGCGAACACGCGACGGGCCTGCTGACGCCTGACGGCCGCGGGGGCGCGCCAGCGTCCAGACCCAGGAGGCCGGGAGGCCGACCCACACGCTCGATCAGGGAGGCCGAATGTGGAGCGGCAGCAGTGCCCGACGCCACCGTTGCGCGCGCGCCGCTGCCAAGACGCTGATGCGGAGTCGGAGGCGCGGTCCGCAAGAACGGGAACGCTGAGACCCCCGACGCAGAACTCCAGCGCGGGGTGCATTCATCACTGAGACCGCTTTCGGGCGCGCTGGCGGCCGGGATCGGGCTAGCCGAACCAGGCATCACCAAGTCTGCCGCCTGTCCGACGAGACCTGGCGGCGGCTCAATCGGCGCGACCCCGAGAGACGGCAGCGCGCTCAAGCCGGGCAACGGGCAGACACGCATGATCGTCCGACCCGGGGACCCCAGCGGCTCAACCGCCGCGCAGCCTTGGCAGGGCAAGGGCGCGGGCGCCCTGGCGCCGTTGGCGCCCGAGCGCACCGCGCGCGAAGGCAGTCGGCATCCGCGGACCTGGCGGTCCCCATATGACGGCTGCGTTGCCGAGACACGCGTCCGAGCCGTTGCGAGGCGGCGAAGGGAGGTGAGGAAGTGGAGAGGAGGTGGAGGTTAGTGAGGTCCACCCGCTCCGACTCCTCCAGCCCCCGCGCAATTGTCTTCGCGCCTCTGACCGCCTTGCCATGGGTAAGGCTCTCGCCAGCAGGAGTTCGCGCGCGAGGATGAGCCAGGCCCGCCGCCGGCGCTGTCCGTCGCTGTCGCCAGGGAACTCGCGTTTATTAAATAAGGCTCTCGCCAGCGGATGTACACGCGCGAGGAAGGGCCGGGCTCGCCGCCAGAGAGCGTTGTCCGCCGCTGTCGCCAGGGAGCTCGCCTTGTCGATGTGCTGGAGCAAGTGGCGTGCAAGTTCATCCTTCTCCTCCTCGCCCTCTCCTCAGATAAGTCTCCAGCTCCTCCGCCCCGAGGACCAGGGGGAAGAAGTAGGGAGAGGGGGGAGAAGAGTTTTGCGGCGGCGGCCAGGTAGGCACTAAAGGCCACGAAACTCCGAAGGGCGGGTGGTCGACCAGAAGCAGGTCAGGCCACGGGACGCCATCTGGCACTGGCACAGAAACCAGGCACACCAGTGGACACATAATGGCAGCCGGCAAACACACCTTACGCCAGCGGGGGGCGGCATCCCGAGCAGGGAGGGCGAGCGGATCGACACGCAGCCGAGGCGAAGGCAGCCAAGGCGGTGAGGGCACACGGGCCCCAGGACGCACGTCCAGACTGGCCGCGCGGCCAGGGGGCGGGAGCCGACGGACCAGCTCGCGCCGCGTGACGGTCCTGAACACCCCGCGGGTGCTCAGCCGCCACGAGCGGGGGGGGCACCTGAAGCGCCCCTGTCCTGCCCGGCAGGTGCAGCGCACGCACCCGCACAAGCAGCAGGCCACGGCAGTCGTCAACAGGAAGACGACCCCCGTGCTGAGCAACGAAAGCGAGAGTCCGCTGCTCAAGGCCACCGCCAGCCCGAGGCAGACGGCGGGCCCCCCCAAGGGAGTCGGGGCGGCGAAGCAAGTGCGCTCTCCGCCAACCCCGATATCCCGCAGAGGGGAGGACGCGGCAGCGTCCTTGAAGGGAAAGAAACCCCCGCCCCCCACGCGCGCGCGCGCGCGTCCCGAGAGAGGGGGGGCGGGGGGGAAGCCGCGGCCCACGGACGCGAAATTCTTGGGCCGAGAAGCTGCAGACCGACTGCGCATTGCGGGCGCGGCGGGGATATGAGAGAGCACCCCTATATTTTCAAATATTTTCTGGGTGTCTGTCTTCCCCCCCACTTCCCATATTTTCGCATATTTTCCGGGGAATCGACGATTAATTGTGTCTGTGTGTTTCTTTCCCTCCTGAACTGTTGGAGGCCCGCGCGGATTTCTTGGATCTGCGCTGCGCCCCCCGCCCTGCCGCGCGGAATCCGCGAGGGGCGCCCAGAGTTTCTGTTCGTGCTTCTGGTCCTTCCTCCGATCCTCGGCCCCCCAGGCCTCCGCGGGTGGAGGCAGGCCTCCCTGGAGGCCCTCGGGGATCGGTGCGCGTGCGCTGCGAGGCCGAGCCCAGCCAGGATCGGCCTCTGGCCGGGATCGCTGCGGGTGTCTGGCCGACGCCCTCCCAGACCCCCGACGTCATGATTTCTGCATGACGTCGACCCCCCGAGGTCTCGACCCATTCCCCGGGACCGGTTTTTCGTCCTGACTCGTTGTTTGACGGTCCCGAGGGTCGGTAAGGGCCCCCAAAAGCCAAAAATAATGAAAAACCTCCCGTCGTGATTTTTTGGTAACTCGAGGGGGTCTGGGCTCCGAGGTGCGGGTGCAGGCAGTCCGCCCGGCCGATCGAACAAAAAAAAACGCGGCCTCGAGGCTGAGATGGGCGGCCTCTGCGGCCCCTCCGTGGAGGCCCTGGCGGGCAGGGCCCCTGGTGGTGGAGGGGGCCTCGGGCGGGTGGTGGCCAGGGGATGGTCTTCGCGGGGGGGGGGGAGAATCGGGGAGACGTAAGACTCGAATACGGGGGACGCGGGTTGGCCTGACGGGGTCCATCATAAAAATGACGAGACGCAATCTGAAATTTGACGCGAGCTCCCACTGCAAACATCCCACGAAAACTGGACCGTCAAAATACAGGACGCGCTCGTCAAAAAACGTCGGCAAACCCGAGTTCCGGCTTACCCGAGTCTTACGTTCCCCCGAGAGAAGAGGGGCTCCTTATTGAAGGGGCTCTGGCAGGGCCCGTCTTGGGACCCCTCACGTTTGGCTCCAACAGGCCTTACAGGGGCCCCGTTTGTCGCTCCCCATGCAGGCCACCCCCCCCTTACCACCCGCCCGCATCTGGTGGAGTGGAGCGAGCCTCCGGTGCAGGGGGCCTCCCGTTGAGGCCCCTGCCCTGGGGAGGGCCAGACGTCTCCCCAGGGCGGCGTGCTCCCCGTGAGGTACTCGCCACCGGTGGCGTGCACACGTTGGGTCCAAGGCGAAACGCTCAGATGGCCGCTCCTCGCCATTGCCGCCGTGCTGAGAGGCGGGGTGCCCTCGAGGCCAGGCCACCTCCCTCGTCCTGCCCCAGTTTGCGCGCCGCCGATCGCCTCTCGACGGCAGTTTCCGCCGTCACGGTGATGTTGGCAATGCACTGCCGCAGGAGGGTGCGGACCTGGTAGCGGTGCGCCAGTTGCAGCAGGTGGCACAGAGCATCCTCGCTGTGGAGGGTGTCCGGATCCAGCTTGTTTATGTACAGGAAGCGCACGAAGCGGTGCGCGATGTTGGCATCCGCGCCCTCCAGATTGAGCTTCGAGTGGATCTGCGACTCGAGCATGCTCGACGACAACAGCATGCACCGGAACACCGGAGACCGCGCCGCCAGCACCAGCCGGTGGGCGCGCACGGGGGGGTCCTCTGGAGCCAGGCTGCCGTGCACTTCCACGTCCGTGCCCTCAGCACCGGCCCACCGAGCCCCCCCTCCTGGGAGCAGCCGGGCGTCGCGGGTCAGCTCGCAACCTAGCTGTGTCGGGTCGGGCGAAAGGGGGGATAGCAAAGGGGGGGGTGAGAATCAGCTCGCGTGGGTGATTTTCCCGCCTCCCGGCGCCGGAGGCGGCTACGTATCGAGGGATGGGCCCGGCGGCGGGGCCGAAACCAGCTGCATGCAGCAAATTTCGCACCCTAAAACGACCCGAAGATCGGGACAAAATCGGATCGGGATAACTCGAAATCTCTGAGAATCGGCGGGTTTGGAGGATGTTTTGGGCGCCGCGGCCGCTCCAGAGCGTTCCGGAACGCTCTGAGAGCGCTCCGGAACGCTCTGGAGCAATTTATCCCGATCCTAGCCCTGTTTTACCGTACCCCCCCGTTTTCCAATCCCCCCCTTTCGTCCGGCCCGACTGTGCTTCGGCGGCCGCGCCGCAGCTCGTCCTGAGATCACGGGCCAGCTGGAACCTGGTGCTCGGAGGTCTCCAGCCGGCCGCAGATAGGAAGGCACCAACTATACACCAACACCAATCCTTGCCAGGACCACCCTGGGCCCAGGATCGGTGTATACGCCCTCCTGCCTTGGGCAGAATGCGTATACACCGAGCCTGGGCCTAGGATCGGCCTGGTCTGGATCGGTGTAGGTGTATAGTCGGTGCCCTCCGAGCAGAGGTCACGGGGGGCGCCTCGAGGGGCCGCGGGGCCTCGAGGGGGCCGCGGGGCCTCGAGGGTCGAGGGGCGCGGCCTGGTCGCCGGACCTCTCGCAGCGGTCGGGGACAGCTCGGCGACCTCGCCGCGTTTGGCAGGGCGAGGAGAGGCGACGCCAACACCACCAGGGCGAGTTCGGGGATGGACAGACCTCCCTTTAGTGAAACGTGGTCTAGTGAAAACGACCTGAGGCCCAAACCTGGCGGGCGCAAGCCTGTAAGATAACGGCCGCGGCGCCATCTCGAGAACCGAAAACGGACAATTCACTAATCGACGTGTCACTGTTGGGGGTTCTGTCCGCCCCCGACGAGTAGGTGCGAGGAGGCAAAAGGGGGTCTCCCTGGTGGCGTGATCCCCACCTCTCGCTCGAGACATCCCCAGCCTCCGGCTGGCGGAGGCATCGCGGAGCTCGTGGACCTCATTGCTGGAGGTGGGTTCCCTGGCGGTGTTGGTGTCGCTGCTCCTCCCTCCGAGCATGGGTGAACAGTCCGCTGAACCTGCACATGATGGGCCTGTTTCTACCACCACCACAAGTTGGAGGGGAAGGGAGTCCTCCTCCTCCACCTCCCCCGCCTCCTCCTCCTCCTCCTCCTCCTCCTCTTCCTCCTCGTCCTCATCCTCCTCCTCCTCCTCCTCCTCCTCCTTCCCGCCTCCAACTCATGGCAGTGGTGGTGGCAGACAGGCCCATCCGCGCAGACCTCAGAGCAAGCCCCCCGCCCCCCCCAACACGCCTCGGGAGCGGCCAAGAGGGAGTCCAAGAGGGGGGGGGGTGCAAATCATGACCGGCGGCATGTGCGCGGCCCAGCGGAGGGGGGCCAGGGACGCAATGAAATGAGAAGAGGCGCCATGCAATCTGGGGAAACATCATGGCTCACGCCATGATATCCCCCCACTAGTCATCACCCTCCTCTCTGCCGCCCCCCCCACACACCCCGCCAAGCGCGCGTCGGGGCAGGCCCTCACGGTGCAGGGGTGGGGCGGGCCTTCTGCACGGGGCGTGCCTGCTGCCGTCCCCCCCCCCCACGGCCGCCACTCTGCCCCCCCCCCCCCCGGGACTCCCCGCCCACACTCCGGCGGTGCCGGGTCCTCGCTCTGCATCCGCAGCGCCGAGCTCCTCAACTCCTCCTCCTCCTCCTCCTCCTCCTCTTCTCCTTCTTCTTATTATTAGCATTCTTATTATTATTCATGATTCATATTGTTACTCGCATTTTTCCTGCTCCTCCTCCTCCTCCTCCACCTCCTCCTCCTCCTCTCCTCCTCCTCCTCCTCCGCATCATCATCATCATCATCATCATCATCATCATCATCATCATCATCATCATCATCATCATCATCATCATCATCATCATCATCGTCATCATCATCATCATCATCATCATCATCATCATCATCATTCATCATCAGCATCAGCATCAT